GTCATCAATTATTAATTAATGAATTATATATATAGTTGTTTATTTATTTATTTTGTACTGTAAGTTACCTTTAAATTATTTGTTTATTTTTAATATATCCAGTAATGTATGATACAATTGTTATGAAAATTTGTAAAGTATAATCTTTTTTTTCAATATCAATCATGTGGGCAGTAAAGCCAAGTGCTCATTTGAGTTCTGTGACCATGAATTGTGATCCTTATCTGAAATATTTGTTGTTGTGCAACCTTTTTGGTGTAGCTTTAGATGGTTAAATGATCTGATCTGGAAAGAGTTGTTATGCGACCTTTAATCAGAAAACATTATATATATATATATAGTTCTTTTCAATAATCAAAATTTATTATGTTTAGAATCTAAATTGCAAATTGATATAACAATTATTATTTTAAAATAAATAATGATTTGTAAAAGATGGAATTTTTAAATATAATAAATTATATATCTTGGTTAAAATAAGATAAATAAACAAACATGACTTAGCTTTTTAATTGAATAAATCAATTAAATTAACCAATTAAATAAATGGTTAACGGTGTCCAATCTCTAGTTCATGAGATAAAAAAATATAAATATTGATTTATTCTCAAATCAATAAGTCTTTTTTGTAAAATAAATCTGATGATTATTATGGGAGTCAGATTTAATAAAATTTTCCTATCACCAGCATTGCATTTTGGTACTTCAGCACCATGGAAATATTTTCCACAGTTGAAGCAATGCATCTCGAACATGCCAGAAGGCTTTGGACAAATGAGGGGCCTCAACAACTGCATTTCACAAAAGTGTCATAGGCCATGATGCAGTTTCAATAAACCATACTTCTGAAAATTAATTGCATCACCATTCCACCGCATTCTGTTGGAATCCAGATTAGCCACACATGTACTCAAGGAAGGCAAGAATTATTGTAGTTTCCAAATATTTGTACTTCAACTTCTAGGAGCCATTTTCCTCTTCAATAGTCATATTGCCTTTTTTTACCTTCAAAATTTCTTATTAATATTAATTACAATTATATATATAATAAAAAAAAAATACTTATAAATAACATCTCCTTCAGATCAAATAACAATACTTTGTCTTGTTAAAATAAATTGTTTTTAGATTAGAGTTTTTAATTGTAAACATTGATTGGTTCAGATTGTTAATTCAAATTACTAATTGATAAAATGTGTTTTTATATAAATATGTAATGTAATTTATCATCAATCTTGCATGAAAACCATTCCTTTGTTACTAATTTTTTTCTTCTGTATTCTATGTGTATATATATATTTATTAGATTGGAGACTGGTTGGAGGAAGTGTTGAACCAGAAAGCAGTAGAGTGGCTCTTTTACTTCATTGTAATTGAAGAGGCACAATTCAAATAGATATTTAATAATATCAATGTTGAATTTGTCCTGTTATTACAAAAGATTAAAAAATCAAAAAATTTATTACAAGATATAACAATTAATTATCAATTTTAATTCTATTTTCTTTTTGTAAATCTTTAATTGTAAAATCAAAAATGTATTGTAAACTTGTTTTTCCACTCATTATTATCACGTGATGAAAGATTGGCCATACAAAAGTCACTTTGGCCGTTTACAGCCACTTGTTTATGGTGGGTGTAATGGAATTTCTAAATATTGTAATGATTGACATTCTAAAAATAGTATTTACACGATACCAGCTGATACACATTACTATTTTAATTCGTGTTTCAAAGTCTTTCAACATTTTATTATGGTGACATAATTATTATTTTTAATTTTTCAGAATTTTACAAAATGATATCAAAGAATCCTATAATTCTATAAGCAAATTTGAGATCATGATTTAAAGGTATTTTTTATTATTTAAATACAATTTAAAATGATTTATATTAATATTAATTCCGTGATGAATTCAATTTTAGGTTGCGCGAATAGATAAAATTGGTAACATAAGACACAATTCGTCAAAAGAGAGAAAAGCATCAGCACATCATGATTTTAAAATCAATATTAATATTGTTATGTTTTCTGAAGTTATATTTTTCATATCCAAATTTTAAGAGATTTTAAAACATTTGTATGGTGTTTTACTTTTACATGATCCTGAAATCAAAGAAGTGTCAATTCAAGTTATTTATCTCAATTTATTGGATATTTAATAATAATAATAAATATATTTTTGCTTCCATTGCAATTTATAATTAATTAACTTTGGACATTACCAAAAATGAAAATTTTTTTTTTCGCTGTCTATTTTTTTAAAAAATTTTTTTTCAAAATAAGTTATATATTATTAATTATAATAATAATAATAATTTTTGAATTGTTATTTTGGATAAAAAAAAATTTTTTTCAATAATGTGGAAAATAATTGAGAGTGATGAGGATGGCGCTGGCTGTAGAAGCAGCAGGAATGATATTATTAAAAAAACAAGGTCTGAACCATATCACGGATGGCTGAATGAATTTTACTGGCTCAAATTCAAGAAAACCAATGGTGAGGTGATTATGTTTTGTGAAGTTTGCACATTATCCAACAAAAAAAATATATTAACAGTGGGCAGTAAAAGATATAAACAAGAGGTGCTGTTGAGACACGAAGATACAAAAGACCACATATCAGCAGAAAGGCCCAATCCAAATCAAAAAAAAATAAATGATATGTTTAAAGCATATAAAATGTCTTCACCAGCACCAGCACCACTGTCTTCTTCACTGGCTTCACTGGCTTCACTGGCTTCACCATCTTCACCGGCTTCACTGGCTTCACTGTCTTCACTGGCTTCACTGTCTTCACCATCTTCACCAGCTTCACTGGCTTCACCGTCTTCACCAGCTTCACTGGTTTCACCAGCTTCACTGGCTTCACCATCTTTACCAGCTTCACTGGCTTCACCATCTTCACTGGCTTCACCAGCTTCACCATCTTCACCAGCTTCACTGGCTTCACCATCTTCACCAGCTTCACCAGCTTCACTGTTTTCACCAGCTTCACTGTTTTCACCAGTCCCACCAGCTCCATCAGCTTCACTGGTACCACCTAAGGTTTCTGGTCCAAACTGTTTTCTCAAAGCCCAAACTAGTTTGGGCAATTTGGGCTTCTCAACATTTTCTATA